AAAAACAAACTCAATATGAATCAAAGGACACGATAACAGTGATTAAGGGCTTTTGGGTTTGAGTCATTTATGAGACCCTACATATGAAAGTGAGAGGTCATGAGTTAACATTGGATTACCACATAATCACTAATAGAAAGATACAGCGGGACCCTCCCTGTCTATATGCTGTCGAAGAATATGTCCTCTTGACTCTTGACAAAGCAAACAGAAGAAATGCTTCTCATACAAAGCATTCAAAGTCACATCCAGTGACCTAAATCGCAGTGACAGAGATACAGTAAAGCAGCAAAAAAGGTCACTGGAACATTAGTCATCACAGTCAAGAGGCACATTTTCCAGCTTTCATTTGAAAACTTTTGTTTTCCAAACCTCAGCCACAAACGAGTCCCATATCTCTCAGTGCTCTGTCAATTAGTTGTTGCTACCACAGCTTTCGATTGCAGCGAAGAGGTCCAGGATGTAAAAATTGATAGCAGACATAGCAAACTACCACCCACTCTGTCTCTTTTATTAGAGGCCTTAGATGCATTTGCATGGGTTGATTTTGGGTGCTCCCTTCCTACTGCTTTCCACTGCCCAATGTCAAGATAATAAATGGTGTATTCACACAGAGAAAGTGTATAACCTCTACACATCATTTTTGCCCAGACATCATGGAGAGAACGTCGACATTATAAACAACATGTTTACAGCATGCACTTTTTGAATAACAATCTTCCAGTTTCTTCTTGTAACCCTTATCAATATGCCACCTCTTACAATAAAAGATTTGTCAGACTAGAAAATGTCTGAAATGAGTAAGCTTCTAAATCCAGTCACAGCGGGTTTTTTTAATCTTGAATCAAAATGATAGTGATGTCAAATCTTTAAAAGTTCAAATATTTCTCACTCACATATTTTTCCTCCAGCCAGTAGTGTTAAATAGCCATGTAGAGTATTGTGTGTGGGTTACCCAGTTTTGGATATATACACTACTGTGCTACAAGAGTGCTATGCGCAGACACAAATTTCTGATATTTAGCAAAAGACTAAAACAATAGAAGAATTTTTCTTGTTAAAATTCAAGTACAGATCTCTTGGATGGTTACCACCGCACAACAGGCATCATTATTTAACAGCTAATCCAATTAAAATTCTACCAAAGACAACAATAGCACAAACATAGTGGAAAGGTCACGTTTAATAGCAGAGGTGAAGCCTAACCCACACACACAGGTCAGTTACAGCAGCTCCTGTATCCACCATAAAGCTGTTATTAATTAACACTATCCACACAGTTCTAGACCATTTTTGAATCAAGCTGTAAATATGGTGTTTTAAAGCTGCAAAGTTGGGTATTTTTGATCTGATCAACTGCAGATTTTTGATCTGATCATCTGCAGAGGAATGGTTTATTTAAAGAGTTTCGTGAGGTTTCAGAACTCATCATTGTACAGAAACAGCATAATTGAAGGTTATGAATGAATCATATCTATCTAATGGATTCCAATTGGAAAGAACATATGATTTGTTTGCATAAAGGGACAGTCCTCTTCACACACACTTCATACACTAAGGTTAATCATGGAGTTCCGCAGGGTTCCGTGCTAGGATCAGTTCTGTTGACTTTATACAGCCACTATCATTAAAAAGCAAAGGGTACATTTTCACTGCTATCCAGATGACACCCAACTTTATCTGCCCGTGAAGCCAGATAACACTCACCAATTAGTTAATTGCAAGAACAACTTAAAGACAAAAAGACCTGGATGATCTCTTATTTCCTGCTTCTAAATTACGGCAACTGGTGTCTAACTGGATACTTAGAATGGCATTACCTTGGCCTCCAGTAAAACTGGGAGAAATTTTAGAGTCGTTTTACATCCTTCAGTGTGTATATTGAGCTAATATGTAGGACTGTTTTCTTGCATTTGTGCAATATCTTTACAATTAGAAACATCTAATTTTAGAGTGCTGTTAAAAAACTAGTTCATGCATTTATTACTTCTTGGCTGAACTACTGTAATTCGTTAGGACGGGGCTCTCCTAAAATCTCCCTGAAAAGCCTTCAGTTGATCCAAAATGCTGCAGTAAAAGTACTGACAGGGACTAGAATGAGAGAGCATGTTTCTCCATTATTGGCTTTTCTTCATTCATTCTCCTCATATACCAGTTCTAGAATAATCAGGCCCTGTCTTACCTTAAAGACCTCATAGTACCATTTCACCCCAATTGAGCACTTCAGTCTCAGACTGTTGGCTGACTTGTGGTTGCTAGGATATTTCAAAGAAGAATGGGAGGAAGAGCTTACAACTTTCAGGCCTCTCTTCTGTGAAACCAGCTCCCACATTGAATTTTAGCGACATTTTAAGACTATTTTCAAGACTGAGGTTAAAACTTTCCTTTTTGATAAAACCTATAGTTAGGGCTGGATCAGGTGATCCTGGGTTCGTCCTCAATTATGTTGCAATAGGCCTAGGTTCCTGGGTCATTCTCATGATGCAGTGTTACTTCAGCTCTTTTGTCCTGTCTCCCTGCCCCAACCTCCAGTCCCTGACCCTCCATGAGCCTGGTTCTGCCAGAGGTTTCTTCCTGTTAAAAGGGAGTTTGTCATTCTCACTGTTGCCAGGTGCTCATAGCTGGTCCTTTGATTGTTGGTTTATTTGAAGAGTTTTAGTCAGGCTTCAGAACTCTGTACAGACACAGCATTAGTGAAGGCTTGGTGTTTTCTGTGTTTTTGTAGGGTCTTTACCTCGTGATATAAAGCAAACCAAAGTGATTATTGTTATGATTTGATACTAAATAACAAAAATATAATTGTTTTGCTCACCTCTTTTTGAAGCCAGAAGGCACCTGATATAGATGAAGTACTAATTCTTCAGCTAACTAGCGTTTATATTGGTTAATTAGTATTGCACTAATAAAATACTAGACTTTAACTCAAGTGTAGACTTGTAGGGTGGCCTGTATCTCACAGACAGCCACAATATTAATCAGATAATAGATTAAAAAAGCACCAAGGGCACAAAAACTGATCCCTAACTCCAGTGGATGAGTTACAGTTCACCCCACTCAAAGTTTTAGAGTTGTTCTGAAGAGGGGGGAAAGCATGAAGCTTTCACAGAAGCCCAAACTGCACAGAAGCCCAAACTGTTATTTGTACCAACACAAGGGGACAGCATTTAGCTGCGGACTGTTTGCTGTGCTCCTCTTTCAGTTTTGCTTTGCATAAAAAAAAATATTCTCCATAAACTATGTTGTGTGATTTTAGCCAATAAAAAAGGTTCAATTTAAGAGGCCATTTTTGCCTTATTTCAAAAGTTGATTGTAAAAATCAGCAGTGCTCAAGAGATCAATATCTCACACAGACCTGCTTTATAAATGGAAAATGTTGATTTCATATACGGAAGTGTAAAGATTTTGGTTCATGTCATAACCGGTGATAGAGTACTCTCAGCCCACACAAATTCTCTATACAAGTCATGCTTGGCCTCGAAACTACACAGCTGATACAGCTCGCGCTGCTGCGCTGCCGTCGTCTCTCACACTTCACAGGTCAGCCAGCGCTGGAAGATCATGACTCACACATGTGTTATTAAAAGACCAGAAGACTTGAGAAAACATCATTCAGCTCATGGATAACTAAACTCTGGACTGGAGTTACACTTTCAGCTCTCAAGTGTGTTTTCCTAATTTGAGTAATCCATACTTGGCTGAGGGAAAATTAATTAGAGAAATCACTCAGCCTACACACCCACCCATAGAAACACATACATGCACATACACATATTCATTCACACACACACACGCACACACACATGTTGCTTCATTTTCACCAGCCATTTCTCTCTGGGTCTGGGGTTGGAAAGTGAGTCAGCCAAGCAATCTGCTGCTATCACCCCCCTCCCCCCGGAAGCCCCCACTACCACTTCCTTTTCAGTTTACAAATATACAACTCTGTGGGTGTCTTCTTCGAACACACATAGATGAAGGGAAAGTATAACAGTGACTGCATGGGACATACAAAAAAGGGGGAAAAAAAAAAGCTTCAAAGAGCTTCTCGTTCGCACAGACCTTGTCATGGTTGCACGTTGTGCCGAGATGTGACTTGAAAAGAAACGATGTAATCTACTGAAAAAAAGTAGTAAATAGAAAAGTAAACCAACATTTTTCACATCCACTTTAAACCTTTAAACCTTAAATAATGTTGCTGCCAGTATACATTCAGGTGAGAAGAAGCTGACATGATGACACTTTACTTTTTGGGCCATTGTGGTATTGAAAAAAAAAGTTCCTCCAGTAACTGCTGTGTGGTTGGACTGAGTGGGCGACAACATTTTTAATACAGAGACCACTGAGCCTGTATCACGGTCTCACCTTTCACGGCAGGAAATGAATACACTTCCCTTACTGTGCATGGCTAACAAAAAAGACCAAACCAAACAGGTCTTTTAAATTATTATGTGTTTATTTCATTGCACTGTATGACTTAATGTATATAAATACAGAAAAATGAGCTTTTTTCTTTAATAATAAAAAACAAATTCATAAATAGTGTGCAGTA